AGTGTTGACAAGTGATGAAATGCCAAGCTCAGGGGTGTATTCGTCTTTTCAAAATACTAAAGCCCTGGTAAAGACTTGGGCCTTCTGCACACTGCAGGGGCATTTTAGGACCATGGTGGAGTGAAATGTATTGAGAAACCTGGCACTTTTCTTAGATGTAAATGTCACACAGTTACAGCAGACTTAAGAGCAATCCTCTCATTATCTGCCTATCTTGTGTCCCTTTGTAATTTTTTAACCCCAGAACTATTCCCTCCTTCAGGATGTCATACATATTTTTTTTTCTCTCCATGCTGCTCTGAAATCCTGCTTAGAAAACTATTAGGAAATGGCTGCAGTCCTGAGCTGTGAGCGGTAAACACAGCCTTTGAGAGCAGGAGCACATTTCCCTTTCATGATATCAGGTAGGGTTGTATAATTCCCGACTAGTTATAGCGTCTGAGTCTTACCTTTCCCCCCCCTGTATTGAAGAATGTTGGTGATCTTTTGAAAGGTACTTTGTTTAGTTTGTTAGTCATTCACACCTACAGGAAAACAAACTTTAGATTTTTGTTGTGTTGTCACCTTTAGCTATGCCTTGGTTATTATTTCATTGGATACTTTCAAAATTCCCATGTCCTGAGAACCCAGTCAAGCAAGAGATAATTGGTACTGATAAGTTTCATAATGGAGAAAATGAGAACTCAAGTCTTGGGAGTTTTTCTTAAATATGAAGGATAAAGAAAGAAAGGCTGTGAATTCTCACAGATACTAAACTGTAATGGGGTGGACTTATTACTCTGTTGGAAGGGCTTGGTCTCTGGAAGATTAGCCTAGAATCAACTTTTAATGGTGATTTACCACACATACTTTAGTACTTTCTGCTGGTTTTATGCCCTTTGCGACTTGTCGTTGAATTTGAATTTGAAAGTAGCAATGGACAAAAAAGGGACCCTAGGTACTGCTGGCTCTTAACAGGTCCGTTAACGTGGTTGAAGGATATGGCCTTTTCTCTTCTGTTGTCCATGCACAGGACTTCCACCATCAGGTAGCTGGCAGGACCTGAAGGATCATATGCGAGAAGCTGGGGACGTCTGTTATGCAGATGTGCAGAAGGATGGAATGGGGATGGTTGAGTATCTCAGAAAAGAAGACATGGAATATGCCCTGCGTAAACTGGATGACACCAAATTCCGCTCTCATGAGGTGGGTTCCCAACTTTTTTGAGCTTGCTCCTAAGCCACTCCACCTGAAGCTGACCTAGCAGAAGGAGCAGCAGGCCATGCGCTTGCCATTTGATAACCTCATAGTACCATTAAAGATCTCAAGTGGTTAAAGCCAGGGAATTCATCATGCCCAAATCCTTCAGGGTCATAACAAAGAAGTTTGCAGTCATAGTATTTTTAACCTGGAGAGAATACTGGTGCAGTCTGTCATAATGTGGCGAACTATTCTGTCATACCATCCCTTTCACAACCGGCTTACTCTGCAGTGTACCTCTGTGAACCTAATTTTTACGGTTCTCCCTCTGGGTCTAGTCTGTGCTCTGCAAGCCAACCTCATCATCTCAGCTCTTCTAAGGTTCTCACCTTATTTTTCCCTTCCGAAGAGTAATGCATGCAGATTGTCACCTTGGCATTTTCTTGTAATAACCTTAGTTCTCAGGACTTAGTTCTTGGTCTTTCAGGAAGGCAGCTGCTGCTTTGGATCCCTCAGTTTGATTCATATGTTGACTGTCCCTTTGATATCACTGAGATAAGACAGCAGACCCAACTGGACATTGCTTTTTCTGGTTATCTTGTCTTAACTATGGAGTTTAGATATGTCTGGGGTCCATTTCTTTTTCTAAGGATTCATATAGTTCCCCAATTTTATGACTTGGAAAATGCATGGCTTATTAACAGTGCTTTTGCTCAGGCTGAATTTGGAGCAGAAACAAAACAGGACCTGGGGGCACCTGGGTGGCTCAGGGAGTCCCACGTAGGGCTCCTTGCACAGCAGGGAGTCTGCTTCTTCCTCTGACCTCCCCCCCCCCCATGCACGCTCATTCTCTCTCTCAAATAAATAAATAAAATCTTATAAAAAAACAGGATCTGGTCCTGTTATACTGCAAAACAGGGCCTCAGTAATGATAAATCCAATTACTGACTTTACCTAGGGAATTCTGCATCCAGCTTCTTTCATCTTAGCATTTTTAGATTCTCTGAGAGTGTTAGCTGAGGGGAAAGGGCATAGACATGACTCCTCTGCCACTTAATAATTTCTCTTGGTTTTTGTTTTTAAGATTTTACTTATTTATTTGACAGAGAGAAAGAGAGAGAGAGAGATACAGAGAGAGAGATCACAAGTAGGCAGATAGGCAGGCAGAGAGTGGGGGAAGCAGGCTCCCTGCTGAGCAGAGAGCCCCAGTGCAGAGCTCAATGCCAGGACCCTGAGACCAAGACCTGAGCTGAAGGCAGGGGCCCCTCACTTAGTAATTTCTTAGCTGAGCTGTGCTCTGAACCCTGGTTTCTCACTATGCAAAACAGGAACAATAATAGCACTGTCTCATAGGACTTGCCAGGAAGCTAACTTATGAGGATTAATTGTATCTAACCTAGGTCCTGGCACCTGAGAGGTGTTGAATACAGGTTAGCTTCTGCCATAGGCATCTATCCAAAGATGCATATATGAGGTGGCAGGGAATTGAATTGTATGACCTCTGAGATCCTTTCTGGTTCTTAGGTTCAGGGGTCAGTGGCAGTAATTCAGTTGTATTAACAGTAGTGGCTAGTATTTGAGCATTTACCACATGTGAAGTTGCTGTTTATTATTTGTATCACGCTGGAACAGATAAGAACGTTGTTTTCCTCATCTTGAAATGAGCTGTTAAGCATACCTACCTCATAGCATTATTGTGAGGGTTTAATGAGATAACATCATGCCAGAGAAACAGTAAGTGCTCAGTACTTAACTATTGTTAGGCAGCCATGTTAGGTATTAGTGTGCTGTATTCTTCTGGGTCTTATTTTTTCCTGTACTCTTTTTGTTTGAATTTCAGGGTGAAACTTCCTACATCCGAGTTTATCCAGAGAGAAGCACCAGCTATGGCTACTCACGGTCTCGGTCTGGCTCAAGGGGCCGTGACTCTCCATACCAAAGCAGGGGTTCCCCACACTACTTCTCTCCTTTCAGGCCCTACTGAGACAGGTGATGGGAAATTTTTCTTTATTTTTTAGGTGAACTGAGCTGCTTTGTGCTCAGAATCTACATTCCAGATTGATGATTTAGTGTCTTAGGAAATTTTTTTAATTTTTTTTTAAGGAAATAAAATACATAATTTCTACCAGGGCCATATTGGCAGTGAAGCATTTTAAACTGCAGAAATTGTGGTTTTGGTTCAGAAATAAGTTGTATATTTTTCACCCCTGATTATGGGAAAAAAATCAGTGCTGTGTCTTTGTGGGTTGCTCTACTATGGAGATGAGCAGTTACTGTGACTGAGTCGGCCCATTCTGTTTAGAAATATATTTTAAACGTTTAGTAATTGACATGTGTGGTTGTCCTTGATTAAGTTAATAGATTTCACCAAACAGGCTCACTGATTAAAAGAAAGTCATTGAGTTGTAGCAGCAGCTTGTACCCAACTGGTAAGGAGAAGTGGGTAACTTTATTTGGGGACAAAGGTAGTTGCTATGTTGGTGGTTTGAGAATTTCAATTCCAAGAGTTGCTTCAGGATTGTCTTATAATTCAAGGCCAAACTTATAAATGAAGCTGCCTTAAAGAAGAAGGGAGTGTTTAAGATAGGGCAAAGGAATGAAAAGAATAAAACAGACTTTTTAAACTTGGCAGCAGCATAAAGATGATTGAAGATTTTTTTTTTTAACCTTTTTTTAAAAAAATATTTATTTATTTGACAGACCGATCACAAGTAGAGAGGCAGGCAGAGAGAGAGGAGGAAGCAGGCTCCCCGCTGAGCAGAGAGCCGGATGCGGGACTTGATCCCAGGACCTTGAGATCATGACCTGAGCCGAAGGCAGAGGCTTAACCCACTGAGCTGCCCAGGCGCCCATGATTGAAGATTCTTTTTTTTTTTTTTTTTAAGACTTTATTTATTTATTTGACAGAGAGAGATCACAAGTAGAGAGGCAGGCAGAGAGAGAGAGAGAGAGAGAGAGAGAGAGAAGCAGGCTCCCTGCTGAGCAGAGAGCCCGATGCGGGACTCGATCCCAGGACCCTGAGATCATGACCTGAGCCGAAGGCAGCGGCTTAACCCACTGAGCCACCCAGGCGCCCCATGATTGAAGATTCTTAAACAAAACCAACTGTGACAGTTTGGAGGGGAAGAAAAGAAATCTTTAAATTTTGGTTCTGTCACTTTTACCCCTAAATCTGTTTCATTTATTCTTGGTATCTGAGCTTTCTTAAAACACAAAACAAACCAAAAACCTCCACTATCTTGGATTCAGTAATCATGGTGGGGGTGGGTAAGTTACTTTGTTTCAGGCCTGGCACTTTTTTAAAAAAAGCCACTTTTTTGAAGTAAGATTGATATGTAAAAAGTTGTACTTATTTAATGTATACAACTCAGTGAATTAGGGATTAAGTGTTTATCCATGAAAGCATCACCATCAAAACTGTAAACATATCCATCACCTCCCAAAGTCTCTTCTCTACTTCAAGATTTATTTGTGGTAAGAGCATTTCATATAAGATCTACCCTGCTGGCAAATTTTTAGTATACAGTACAGCACTGTTAGCTATTTTTGTCATAGGTTCTTTTCAGAAAAACTAGCTGTGGCTAGCATCCCTTTTGCGTGTAATCACTTTGTGGGATAGTGGATGACTGCAGGTTAATCGTTCACAAGCTGTAGAGTCTACTTTGAGTACCCTTCATACCTTAGGAGAAAGCCTTCTGCTGGGAAGGAAGTGGGTACCCAGGAATAAAATGGAGTTTGGTAAAGATACAAGTTTCTTGGGTTGATAGAAACAGCAACTAAAAAGTACAACACAGGTTATCAGAGAGTGATCAGATGCATGGTTACATCAATAGAAAAATCCACTCAAGTGCCGTTTGGTAGACAGTCTTTCTGGAGGAGATAAAGGAGGATAACATCTTTACATACTGAACAGCCTGTGAATAAATACTTGATCCATTTCCTCAGAAAGTAACAATACCTCTTACTTCCAGTAGCAGCAGGAACTCATTGCCTTGTTTTGGGTAGATTATTTCCCAATTTTGTCTTCAGAGAGTTAGTTAATAAAAAATACTTAACCATCAGTTTTTTTCAGGTGACTGAAGTGGGGACATTAGTGTTCATAATAACAAAATACTGTCTCTGGGCTTCCACGTGTTCACAGGGTACCCCTTCCCAGAATTGCTACTCAGTTGTCTGAAAAAGGCTCTTGTTCATCCTGCTTTGGCAAAGAGATATTACCTGTTTGAAAACAGTAACAAGAAAAAATGTTAAAGCGGAGTCTGCTTCCAAACTGGTTGTACTGAGCTAACTTATCACTTGGTTTGTCGTGAAGAATAAGCAGTGCAGATAAGTGTAGTATCTATTCTGTTTTTCTGAGTGTCTGAAAGAACAACAGTTGTAACTGAAGCCTAATAAGTGCATGCTTTTCAGTAAAGAGCAGAGATAGTTTAGCCAGTTATATGCATATGGGAGTGGAAGGAAAGACTAATGATTGTGAATTCACTTTGTCTCAAGAAGTCTGACACAGAGTTCTTTTTTTTTTTTTTTTTTTTTAAAGATTTTATTTATTTATTTGACAGACAGAGATCACAAGTAGGCAGAGAGGCAAGCAAAGAGAGAGAGAGGAAGGGTAGCAGGCTCCCTGCCGAGCAGAGAGCCCAATGCGGGGCTCGATCCCAGGACCCTGGGATCATGACCTGAGCTGAAGGCAGAGGCCTAACCCACTGAGCCACCCAGGCGCCCCTGACACAGAGTTCTTTTTGGAGAAACAGCATATATGATGAATGGATAGGTCTGCTAAAGTAGTGACAACTATCAGATTCTGAGAGAGATTATCTTTTTTTCTCTTCAGTTAATTTGAGGTGGTTTAGTGAATCAAAGGCATGATTAAGAGCCGAGTCCACAATTTTCTAAGCTTTCTTTCTCATTCTTGCTTCAAGCAAAGCTTTCCTTTAATTGGCTGGTCTTGATCAAAGAGAGAACCCCTCTGGGGGACTGATGTCTGTCTCTGAGGCTAGTTAGAATGGTTCTCTGAGATGATCTCCTGAACCTGTAGCTGGCACTTGGAAAACCATCTACCTGAGCACTTCGTCCCATTCCCAAACATTCAGAAGGGTGCGGCAGTTCAGAAGGCCCATCTGTCTGCAGAGCAGATTAAAAAGTTCAACCCAACCAAAATTCTGGATTTTAGTATTAGCCCAGAGTCATTTTTAAGTTTTCATTTAAAATAGTCACAGTAAATTTTAAAGACGCAAATTTCAACAACAAGGCTGCAAACTGATGGCTCACAGGATGCATCCGGCTTGCAGGTATGTTTTATTTACATGGTTTTTTTTTTTTTTTTAATCTTGGAATTAGTTCCCATACTTAAAATTTGGGAACTACCATACACACATCAAAATGCCGTATGTCCAGGTTCTCAGGGAAAATGGGCTCCCAAGTACTGTCTGGCACAGAACGAGAAGCAGTGAGTGCTAGTTGCGCCTTTAACGCAGAGCTTGAGCTTCAGATTTGATACCATGTACATACACACCTCCCCGCCCCAGTCCCCATTTTGCTCATTCCTCTTACAGACAGGCCCTTAGGAGTGAATGTGACCCCTACACTTACTGCCACCTAACTTTTTTTCCCCCACTGTTAATATATGTGGGGTTTTTCATTTCACTTTTATTGGGATAGAATCGACACACAACATTGTCTTAAGTTCTACAACACAATGATTTTATATATATATAATACACATATAATATATATATCAAAATGATTACCAGAACAAGAGTATTTAATATCTATCATCTCACATTAGTTTTGTCCTTGTGATAAGAACTTTTAAGATCTACTCTCTTAGCAACTTTCAAGTACAGAATACAGTATTAAGTATAGTCATTCCACTGTATGTTGAAGTTTGTACCTTTTGACCACCTTCACCTAATTCCCACTCCATACTTCTTAAAGTACTTTTATGTAGCAAATTTGGACCTCACAGCTCCCTTTATATTCTTAGTTCACTGAGGGACAATCTGTTAAGCCACTCTGGGGAACACATACCTGGGGGGGCCACAAAATACTCCTCCACAACTTGATGGGCATTTTGTAGTAGTTCTTCAGCACAGTTGCCTTCTACCACACTGTCAGATCTCAAGTATAGACATCTACAAAACCAGAAGCTCAAGGTTACCTTCTCAGAGAATAGGCTTCTATGGCATGGGTGAAGAGGGTTGAGAATGGGAGAAAACAGAGCAGCATATTCTTGAGGTATGGTCACTACTCAAAGATGGAGGAGCGCATGCTCAGTAGTTAACCATATAACTATCGGCAGTTTATAGATTCTCAACCATTCAGTGAGGTAAGTGGTAATCGTTCCTCAGAACTGACACATTCAGTAAACACTCCTGCATCATTACTATGGGTAAGCTGCTTTTGGTGGATACTGGTAAGGCAAGTACAAGGTTTTAAGTCTAATATGTAAGCAAAGCTTGCCAAAGGAGTAGAAAAGGGGCACCTAAACCAGCCTGGGTAAGGAACAGGTACTCAGAATAGGTGATGTCACTGCTAAAGGATGGGTAAGAAACTACTGCATGGGAAGTGGACTTCCAGGCAGGTGAAGAAACTTGCTCAAGAGTGGTTATAAGTGACTTAGATATTAGGTCCCAAGTGACAGGACTGGAATCCGCACAGTTCTTGTACCCCAAAGATGAGCTGTTTTTCACTGCAGCCACATTCATGGACATGGAGGTGCCTGCCTTTGCACAGCTGAAGAATATTCCACTGTTCTCTGGACCTACTGGCTTCATTAAAGTGTCCAGATGGCAAACCAGTGAAACCAAACAGGAGTTGAACATATCAATGGGGCTTCACTGCGGTTTCAAGGCTTAAAAGTGCAAAAAAAAAAAAAAAGTGAGCCTGCTTCCAGATATTTGGGCTGAAACATGAGCAGTCTGCTCAGTCACTGATAGGGAAGCCAAGCTCTTTCTGCTTTGAGCCAGACCTAGACTAAGGGCTAAACCTAATGGGACAAAAGGGCAAGGATGTGACATGAACATCCAGGGAACGGCTGCAGAGGGTGATGTCATGGTAAGATCCTCTTAGGAAAGGACTTTTTCTGTTTCTTCTGTGGCACCCACCCTAGGGCCAGACACAATAAGCACTCATGATACGGACTAGAGAGAGCTGCAGTCTAACTCTGTCGCCTTGGACAAGTATGGATCTTTCCAGACCTTAACTTTCTTGCCAAAAAAGCGAAGGCTGCATTTAATTTTTTTCCCCCTAACCGTATAGAGGCTTATGAAAACTTGGAGAACAAAATAAAAATCCTTTGTAAAGGTGACCATTGGACCTTCTGGAGTTTGCATTTCTGCTGGTTGATACAACAGAATGGCTAAGAGCTTGGGCTCCTGAGTCACAGATAAATTCAAATCTTAAAGCCATAGATGGCACATGTGTAAGCTACTTATCCTCTCCATGTACCTGTTCCCTTATTTGTGGAATACTTCACAGAACTGCTGGGAAGATGAAATGTTAAAGATCTGATAATTGGGGCCTGTGTTCTCATTGCAGAAAGAGGTGGGTATGCTGAGCAGCCCCTCCTCCTCTTAGAGTTCGCGTACCTGGGCACACCTCAGTCCCCACTCCTCATTCAGAGTATACCCCTGCCCTTAACCTGCTGGAATCACGCATCACCTGCCTAGCCCCTAGGGGAGGCTGCTAATTGTTCCTGGGCACTTGGGAGAGTTTGATGAAGTCAGACTCTACTACCACCAACAGGTGGTTAGAAGCTATTGCTTCACAGTAGATGTAATAGCAATTGAGTTATTCACTCATTGGACAGTTGGTTTCCTGTTTAAGTAATGTTTCCAGAAAAAATTCACTCCTTAAAATACCACACATTTTCACCTAATTACTGTTATGATGGAGTTGTTTCCAGAAGAAATCCACACCTTCCTATTTTCATTATCATAGGCTGCTGAACTCAGGGTCTCTGTGAGGGTGGCACATCAATTGTTCATTTGGCAAGTTGCTTAACTTCTTTCTTTCTTTTTTTAAGATTTATCTATTTGTCAGAGAAAGAGCACAAGCAGGGGAAATGGCAGGCAGAGGGAGAGGGAGAAGCAGGCTCCCAGCTGCACAAAGAGCCAGATGCAGGACTTGATCCCAGGACCGTGGGGTCATGACCTGATCCAAAGGCAGACACTTAACCAACTGAGCCACACAGATGTCCCGCTTAACTTTTCTTGATCTCAGAATCATGCATAAAACTCCCAAAGAGAACCAGGTGCCTATCAATTACTGATTGACTAAATGTCTATCTCACTTCTCTTTCTCAGGGTTCTACAAGAGAACTTTAGCCCTAATATTATAGGACACCCATTTTGATAATAAATCAACTGTGGGCTAATATTAATTATGTACCATCCTGGGAAGCGCTAAAAAAGAATCACTTGAATCTTACGTGTTCTGGTTCAGATGAAATCCTGGTTGAGAAAGGCTCACAGACAAAGCACTTTAACCAGTAGCTGTGGGAAATGCTAATAAAAAGCAATTTAATGGAAAGCACTACAGCAGCACTGGAGAAGAAATGCCTTTATTGGCCACTGACCTGACCAGATAGGAGTGCTCTGCTGCTGGTGTCAGGCAGCCAGGAGTCATTTTTTTCTGGGCACAATTCTGTTTCCATCATCTACAATCCTTTTCCCTTCTTCCTAACTAATTTCTAGTTTGATTTAGACTGGAATGAGAGTTAATACATTTGGCAAAGAATTTTTGGTTCAAATAAGATCCTGAGGGACATCCTAAGCACTGAAGTATTTGGCTGCAGTCAGAGATGTCATCATCTGAATCAGTCTCTGGAGATGGGAGAAAATAAAGGTTCTAGGGGTTGACTTTTTATTTATTTATTTTTTTTAAAGATTTTATTTATGGGGCGCCTGGGTGGCTCGGTGGGTTAAGCCTCTGCCTTCAGCTCAGGTCATGATCTCAGGGTCCTGGGATCGAGCCCCGCATTGGGCTCTCTGCTCAGCGGGTAGCCTGCTTCTCTCTCTCTCTCTCTACCTGCTTCTCTGCCTGCTGGTGATCTCTGTCAAATAAATAAATAAAATGTTAAAAAAAAAAAAAAGATTTTATTTATTTATTTGACAGAGAGATCACCAGTAGGCAGAGAGGCAGGCAGAGAGAGGGGAAGAAGCAGGCTCCCTGCTGAGGAGACAGCCCAATGTGGGACTCCATCCTAGGACCCTGAGATCATGACCTGAGCTGAAGACAGAGGCTTAACCCACTGAGCCACCCAGGCACCCAGGGGTTGACTTTTTAGATGGCATATCTAGAACAGTATTTGAGAGCTGAGGCTCTGAATTTCAAGTTCTGGATTCTCTTATTACACTGCGAAACTCTGCGGCATATTACACTAGTTTTCTGTGCCTCAGTTTCTTCATCTATAAAGGAGATACTAGCATTTACCTTCCAGAGTTGTATGTGATAATTTAGATAAAATCTTAGCGCCTGGCACATAAGGACACTAAATGCTTTCTATCTAAAACCAAAGGCTAGGTATTAATATGCCAAGAGATTTCTTATAGCCAGTCAGTGCTTTTACACCTAGTGTGGCCTAAAACGGTTGAACACTTGTCTTAATTGGGTTCCATTTCAAACATTAGGCAGTATGTTAAAAAAAACAGGGTCCTGGGATCGAGCCCCACATCAGGCTCCCTGCTCAGCAAGAAGCCTGCTTCTCCTCCTCCCTCTCCCACTCCCCCTGCTTGGGTTCCCTCTTGCTGTCTCTCTCTGTCAAATAAATAAAAATCTTTAAAAACAAAAAAGTCCTATAAGTGCTATATCTCTAAAATGGAATAATTAACTCAAACTGGTTTCCAAGTTGATGGCAAGACTGCAGATCACTGAATATGAAGTCACTATTCCAGCTACCAGATACAACCCTCTTCATCTTTTTCACAAACTTCCTTGAGTAATAGTTGCATTTCTTTATAGTTTCCCTGTACATGGTCTGGGAAATTCTGTCTCCTCTTTGTGCTTCTATGCCCTCCTTTCCCAAAGATACTAATAAAGAACAGTCAACGGGGGACCTCAGTGGCAGAGTTGGCTAATTTTCTGACTTTTGGTTTCAGCTCAGGTCTTAATCTGAGTGTCATGAGATAGAGGCCCCCGCTGGGCTCTATGCTCAGTGCGGAGTCCGCTTGAGACTGTTGCTCCCTCTTGCTCTGGACTGCTTCTGTCTCTCAAATAAAATCTTTAAAGAACATTCAACAGGGACGCCTGGGTGGCTCAGTGGGTTAAAGCCTCTGCCTTTGGCTCAGGTCATGAGCCCAGGGTCCTGGGATCAAGCCCCCCATCGGGCTCTCTGCTCTACAGGGAGCCTGCTTTCTCCTCTCTCTCTCTGCCTGCCTCTCTGCCTGTCAAATAAATAAAATCTTAAAAAAAAAAAAAAACATTCAACAAACATTTACTGAGTGCTAGGTAGCAGATACTGAGAATATGATGAGTAATAATAGATATGCTGCTCCCCGGTACATGGATAAGTAGTAGAAGAGGGACAGAGAATAAAATATGGCACACCTGGGGGCGCCTGGGTGGCTCAGTGGGTTAAGCCTCTGCCTTCGGCTCAGGTCACGATCTCAGGGTCCTGGGATCAAGCCCCGAATTGGGCTCTCTGCTCAGCGGGGAGCCTGCTTCCCCCCCCCCCCCCGCCTGCCTCTCTGCCTACTTGTGATCTCCGTCTGTGAAATAAATGAATAAAATCTTTTTTTTTTAAGTTTTTTTTTTTTTTAAGATTTTATTTATTTATTTGACAGAGAGAGATCACAAGTAGACAGAGAGGCAGGCAGAGAGAGAGGGAAGCAGGGTTCCTGCCGAGCAGAAAGCCCGATGCGGGACTTGATCCCAGGACCCTGAGATCATGACCTGAGCCGAAGGCAGAGGCTTAACCCACTGAGCCATCCAGGCGCCCAAATGAATAAAATCTTAAAAAAAAAAAAAAATATGGCACACCTGGCTGGCTCAGTCCCTAAACATCCAACTTTTGATCTCAGGGTCGTGAATTCAAGCCCTACATTGGGTGTAGAGATTACTTAGGAAAATAAATTAATGTATAAATATATACATAAATAAATATTACTCAAATAGGAACGCCTGGGTGGCTCAGTGGGTTAAGCCGCTGCCTTCAGCTCAGGTCATGATCCCAGGGTCCTAGGATCGAGTCCTGCATCAGGCTCCTTGCTCAGTGGGGAGCCTGCTTCTCTCTCTGCCTCTGCCTGCCGCTCTGCGTATGTTCTCCCCCACCCTTCTCTCTCTGACAAATAAATAAATAAAATCTTTAAAAAAAAATTACTCAAATAGACATATAAACACATGTAAAATTACAGCTCTATTGAATACCATGAGAGCCACAGGTCCTGAAAGCCTGACTTTGTAAGAGAAGAATCTGAGGAAGAGGCAGTTGAAATCTGAAGAAAGTAAAGTAGACAAAAAAAGTAGTGGGTGGGATGAGGTAGAGGATTCTGAGAAGGAAACAGAATGGAGAGCTTGAGGAATTGAGTTACAGCCTTATCTTGGAGGTGGGCAGGGGCTAAGTTAAATGATGCTTTGTAGGCCCTGGTGGAGCTTTTGTCTTTATCTTAAAGAATACTAGAGAGCCACCTGAAGAGCCTGGGTAGGCGAATGACCTCAGATTTCTATTTTGAAGTGCTATGTAATTTTGGGCAAACTGACTTATGTAGATCTGAGCATCAGATTACAATATAGAGAAAGGATGTGACGGAATCAAAGATTAGAGGTGAGGGTTGCCTGGGTGGCTCAGTGGATTAAAGCCTCTGCCTTTGGCTCAGGTTGTGATCCCAGGTTCCTGGGATCGAGACCTGCATCGGGCTCTCTGCTTAGCAGGAAGCCTGCTTTCCCCTCCCTCTCTGCCTGCCTCTCTGCCTACTTGTGATCTCTGTCTGTCAAATAAATAGTCTTAAAAAAAAAAAAAAAAGATTGGAGGTGAGAATGGGAGGCTAGCAAGCACTTTACACAGAGGTTATGGTTACATACAGGTCTGGTTCTCTCTAATAGAGTGCTAATGCCAGCTCATCTTTTTTGCTCCCATCTATATTGAGTATTTGGGGCTCGAACTCATGGCCTTGAGATCAAGACCTGAGCTGAAGTCGAGTTGGACACCTAACTGACTGAGCCACCCAGGCACCCCAAGAATGTATTTTTTAAAAAATCCCATCAAGGGGGAGCCTGGGTGGCTCGGTTGGGTGTCTGCTCTTGGTTTCAGCTCACATCATGATCCCAGGGTCCTGGGATCAAGCAGAGAATCAGGTTCCCTGCTCAGCAAGGAGTCTACTGATTTCCCTCCCTCTCTGATCCTTCCCCCACACACCATGCACTCTAAAATAAATAAATCTTTTTTAAAAAATCCCATCAAGAAAAGGGTAGGACAGAGTTGTAGACTGCCTGTCTTTATGAGCTACATACCCATTCACCCAAGAAACTGTAGTCCCAACCAGCAAACAAGTCTGCTTTTCAGAAAAGAGCATTTTCTTTAAAAATGTATTAAGATTTAGCAAAATTTGGTAGAAGTGTGGAGAGACTGCACCCGTTTAGTATAATATTCACAAACTGCTTTGTCAAAGACCTGTCCCTCCCTATTACAGTAGACTGTATCACTTCTTGTGTTATTACTCTGCTCCTTTAGGCATTTGTGTTTTGGCCCTCACTATAAGATGAAGTTAGAATTTTCCTCTGCATTTCCACTTTCTTTAAAACTATTATTACAGGGGCGCCTGGGTGGCTCAGTGGGTTAAGCCTCTGCCTTCGGCTCAGGTTATGATCCCGGGGTCCTGAGATCGAGCCCCGCATCGGGCTCTCTGCTCAGCAGGGAGCCTGCTTCCTCCTCTCTCTCTCTGCCTGCCTCTCTGCCTACTGTGATCTCTCTCTCTCTGTCAAATAAATAAATAAAATCTTAAAAAAAAAAAAAACAACTATTATTACAGTTCCTTGCATGCTCTGAGGGAACAAAAGTTAATGAATATACCAGAATATGTCAAAAAGAGGACACATTAAAGTACTGATAATCCCATACACAATGTTCTGAACTTTACCTTTTTTACTAAATATAATCTTTTCATATCAGTATAGTTGCATTATTTTTAAACAACTGTCAATATTCCATTCCATGATGATGTATTTAGCCATGAAAGCTAAGGCTGTTTCTGTTTTTTGTTTTTCGGGGTTCAAAAAATTTTTTAAATTAAGTAAACTCTACCCCCAGCTGGGCTGAAACTCATGACTTGGAGATCAGAGCATGCTCTGCAGACTGAGCTGGCCAGGTGCCCCTTGTTGGGAGCTTTTTGTTGTTTTTTGTTTTGTACTATAAACAGGTCTGGATACCCTGAACACTCGTGCATACACATCCTGCTGCATTTTTACAGATGTTTCCACAAGGACCCACTAGGTCAGAAGATATGTACAGGCCATATTTTGGGACAGGAATCTAACAAGTAAGCAAGTCAAACACAAGCTCACATTCTATTAACAAGAGACAGATTAACAAAAATAAGATAATCAAGAAATTGGAGAAAATCCAACAGGATCGGGGTCGGTGATTATTAAGGGAGAGGATATTTGGAGAGGCCTTACCGAGGAGAGAACTACGACCTGCCAAGGAAACAGGCTGCCCAAGGAAAGGGGAATAGCAAACGCAAAGATTCTAGACAAGAAACAAATTTGCCATGTTGGAGACGTAAGAAAGCTAATGTAGATGCAATGAAAAAAACAGTACGCCCGAGCGGTAGGCAAGGACTCTGTGAAATAGGGCCTCAAAGGCGATGATTAGCAGTTCGGGCATGGTTCCTAGCTACACTGGGAGGCCTCGAGGACTTTAAACGCGAGTGATAGGACCGATAATGAACAAAGGAAACCATGAAACTTACCACGGGGTGACCGTGGACAAGTTCTTCCATCTCGCTAAAGCTCTTTTCCCGTCTGTGAAAGGACACACTAATAATCGCCACCTCAAATGTCTGCGAAGGCGCCACAGGCAAGGCTTCAGGGTACGCAGCCGCGAGTGTTTACCTGTCCTCCAGTACTGATTCCATGGGCTCCACCCCGTCGGTGTCCACCGCGCGGAGCCGGTCGGCAAAGGCGATGGCTTTCTCCAACCGTGCCACGGCCTCTTGGCTGCCGAAGTCCACAAGCGCTAGACGCTCCAGGTGTTCGATCACCTCGGCCGTGATCCGGCCACTACCCTGGAGGGATGAGGCGGAGAACAGGGGTCACGGGTGGGGCCTGCTCCGCCACCCGCTTGACGCCCCCGGCCTTTACCTGAGGATCCGCCTTGGAGGTGAAGCCCCGGTGCCAGCCCAACCAGGACCAAAGGCCCAACTTCGTCGCCCGGGCCCACATTTCTCTCTTCAGCCGCCGTAGTGCGTCTCCACGTAAAGCCGAGCGACGCACTCAAGAGTGACGACATCAGAGCGCGCCGCTACTGCCGCCGCCGCCATGAATAGCGTAGGGGAGGCCTGCACCGACATGAAGCGCGAGTACGACCAGTGCTTCAATCGCTGGTTTGCCGAGAAGTTCCTCAAGGGGGACGGCTCCGGAGACCCGTGCACCGACCTCTTCAAGCGCTATCAGCAGTGTGTTCAGGTGAGCCCTTAGGTGGCCAGAGCCCTTTCGTGTCTACCCCCCTGGTTGTCTCTGCGGTGTCCCCGGCCACACGGGTAGTAATTCGCGGAGGTTGGGATGGGAACGGTGAAGAAAAGCTTCATTGAGGACAGTAGCAGGAGCTGTCTCCCCATTATCACCACCAAGGCCGCCCGGTATCTCTCTGAATGACAAAGTTAAATATTTTTACAATATGTGTTACATTTCACAGAGCACAGGGATATTCTTTGATTCATTTGGTGCTCGTCCTAAACTCGCAAAGTGCGCGTAGTTGTTCGTATTTTATACATGGAATGTTCCCCAAATAGGAAGTGATTAGTTCATGTTAACCAGAATCGTTTCTTTGATTTTTGCGGTGGTGCGCTATTTCACTATTAGTGTTGGGGGTGGAAGAGGGGTGTTAGAATCTGGCCTGTTAGACATGAGGATCTCATTTTGTTGTAATTCCTTCTTTGGCCTGTTAAATCTCTCAACCCGCTAGGAAATTTTCATTCTAGTTCAGTGAATGTGAAACTGCTTTGGATTTTAAGAACCTCAGTGGGCACAACATTCCCAGTTAGTTAACTTAAAAGATCCTCAGGGTAGTTGCAAGTTGCTATCTTTATCCCTATTTATAGACAGGAAAGTGAGGCTTGCCCAAAGTCACATAGCCATTGTCCTGGAACTCAGATTTGAATTTTGTGTCTGTCATAACAGAGTGGAGATACTGTTTAAATTCCACATCTGAAACTCCTTTCCAGTCGCTCTCTGGTCTTACATTTAAGGTTAAAAAAAAGTACAGGTCTTTAATCATGGTTGGGTGTTCTCTTGGTCCCATATGATTTATTTTTGCACCATCATATTTACAAAGTTTGGTCCTCAAGCTTCTTACAGACCTGTGTCATGTGTTTTCTCCTCCATCAGAAAGCAATAAAGGAGAAGGAGATTCCCATTGAAGGACTGGAATTTATGGGCCATAGCAAAGAAAAGCCTGAAAGCTCTTCTTGACCTTGACAGTCACCTTGAAAATAGACTTCTCCAATCAGGAAATTGAGGACACTGGATTTCGTCAATTAAGGCTGTGAAAATAGCCACGGATTTGATGAGGAGTTTAGGAGGCAGTAGTCTTCTTTCCTCATTGATTTCCTCACTTGTAAAAGATGATGAACCATCACTCTTTGCTTTGAGATTTCTTACTTGCTCTGGCATCGTACAGGAACTCCATGTGCTTAAACTGAATGATTGCTTGGGACTATGGTTGCGATACTTGGTCTGGGATCAGCTTTAAATATCCTTTTTTATGTAAATACTGATAAACTTGTCAGGATGATCAGGGTGGCCTGACCTCTTGAGTTTTGCTGGGAAGAACATTAGGTACATTGTACTAGGGTTATTATTCATGGAAGCAATTTGTTAGGATCTCTCTTTTCTCTCAGGGAGCTAAGGCTCTGAAAAGGGATCCCAGCACAACGGTTGTAATCAATGCTTGGGAGCACGGTTTTACTTTTATAATAACTTTTAAGATTGCTGGTGGACTGAGTTAGCCAAGAGGAAGACAGCTTTAAGAGTTCCCTGCCTTAAGAGATGTGATTTCTGATTAAGATGTGAAAGCTTGAAGAATGTTACAGTACACACCATTTCGGAGCTCATAGTGTAGTTTAGGAATGAAGATTGTTGGAATAACAATGAAGGAAGATCTTAAATTGCCAAGATTTGCTTTTTTTTTTTTTTTTTTAAGATTTTATTTATTTATTTGAAAGCGAGACAGTGAGAGAGAGCATGAGCGAGAAGAAGGTCAGAGGGAGAAGAGACTCCCCATGGAGCTGGGAGCCTGATGTGGGACTCGATCCCGGGACCCCGGGATCATGACCTGAGCTGAAGGCAGTCGTCCAACCAACTGAACCACCCAGGCGTCCCCCAAGATTTGCTTTTGCCAGCTCTCAGCCCAAGTCAATTAATTAAGCCATCCTGTATTATCATAAAACTGCCAAAATGCTGCATCTAGTTAAATGGGAGAAATTTGTCCTATTTGCTTTGTGTACCCACCCTGCCCTGTAATGTCTGTAATCATGAAGATGGAATAAATTGTAATACTTAGTTTCATTATTTGCCCCTGGAGAACTCAGTGCACTTTACAAAACAAGTATTATACTGCGACCTCACATATCCCATATGTACACTGGAGAAAATTTTGTTTTATAATTTAAAGGTGAAGAAAAAGTGAAAATTTATCTAAGGTCAATAGTGTGCTAAAACAATTAGAAACCTCACTGATTTCTAAAATTTATTTCCACAATAAGTTACACAAGTAACTTAATATGCTTCTGTACCTGCACAAAAAAAAAAAAAAAAAGTCAGGATCAGGTGAGCACTTAACACACTTTGAAATGTCAAGTAGTCACCAAAATTGCAGGTCTTGTGTAATCTGGTTCAATTTTATATACCCAATATAGTATGAAACAACTTACAGAAGGTAGAAATTGTATTGGGCTCGCTCCAGTTTATGTGACTACTTCATATTTAACATGACTAGTCCTGAATGTCATTTCAATACATTCTGCATTTATATTTTGACTGGTTACGGTCTATTATACAAGAATTATAAAAGATACTTGAAGTCCAGCTGAGGGAGGCCAGGCAGCAAGCCAAAGTCAAGTCCTGAACTCAGACTCAGCTCAAGTAAAATGGTTCTATGGGGACTTGGAAGCACAAGCACAGGCTGTGGTTAGATCACAAAATGGAAAAGATAGCAGGGATCCTTTTCTCCCTTACTGTAAAAGGCTTTCACATCCTGTGTTTCCATATGCCTCACCTCTGCAGTACCAGTTTACTTTATGTACTATGCAATGCCAAAACCTGGTAGCTTCTTGAATCTTATTACAAAACTGTCTGGTTGAGCCTCGAGAATAAAACCATTCCAAGCCAACCATCTTCTTTCATTGTAACTGCTACCGAGGGAATAATAAAGAGGAAGAGAAGACAGAGAATCTAGGCAGGCTGCACACAGCGTCGAGCCTGATGCAGGTCTCAGTCTCACAACCTTGCAATCATGACCTCAGCCACAATCAAGAGTCAGACACTTAACCAACTGAGCCACCCAGGTGCCCAATTGTTCTTCATTCTATTTTGACTTTATAGTGACTTCATCTATCTCAGCTACTTCAAGGACTTTAAATTTTGAGAAGTTAAAAGGTCTGTAAGGGTGACTTTGTTACTGTTACTATTATTTCTCCCTAATTCTTAATGCTATGGAAAGGTTTTAATTCTAGAAACAAATAAAGCTAATGCTATATGCAAAAATGTGTAATACTGCCTTTTATTTTTTCAAGATATTATTTGTCAGAGAGTTCACACAAGCAGGGAGAACAGGCAGAGGGAGAAGCAGACTCCCAGCTGAGCAGGGAGACTGAAGCTGAACTCTGGGATCATGACCTGGGCCGAAAGCAGACCTTTCACTGACTGAACCACCCAGGAGTCCCCATACTGCCTTTATTTCTCCAAAAGTTTCTGACCCTTCCAGTCTTCAAGGTGCTAAGAGATGACCCCAAGATGAGAACTTGACATCTTTGGAGACAATTATCTGACTACAGGGAATATTCTTCAGCAAATGATGGTGGAATGGAATAAGAGAAAGCCAGGACAAAGACTAAGCACTTCCTCTGGAGAATCAAAAGATACCTCTTTGAGATGTAAATTGCCACTCATTCTATTGGCCACTCAGTATCTTTGCCACCCAAAGTCTGTCAGGACCCAATCTTGATACTTAAATTAGTTCCACTTAAGGTCGCTTGGCTTTACCTACCCCAGGTATAAGAAACCAAGGACAAGACTGTTACAAACACTGTTATCCAGAGGCCTGTACACAGGAGCCATAAACCTTCATTACAGAAACAAAAATAATGCTGATTTCGGAGGGAAAAACACCAAAAAATGCAACTCTCAGATCATTGACCAATCTAAGTTATTTATTTAAGCCACCTCCTGCCATAAGCAAAGGGATGGAAGATCAGTATACTGGTCATCATTTGATACAAGTAAGGAAGGTGAGCTTAAGGTCCCATAGACTTTTCTGGTCCGTGTGCAGAGCCATGGTCCAAACCAGTGCTGTGGTCCCCACTGGGTGGTGGTCCAGGTTCTATTCATCTTCATAGCCAGTTGGAAGTGGATTCACTTGAGAGTTATGGAATAGAGTATGATTACCATCTCCCCAGGGAAAGGGCTGTGGAGTGAAGATGTCAATTAGGCAATTCCAGAAAAGAATTCAGAACAGCACTGCCATAACTGCTTCAGCTAAGGATAAGTGACAGACTATACATAAAAACAAAATGATAATTAGTCCTTTAACTATTGGGGTATTTCAGCCTTCCCATAATTTAAGGGAGCTCTTTTTTTTTTTTTTTTAAAGATTTTATTTATTTATTTGAGAGAGACAGTGAGAAAAAGCATGAGCAAGGAGAAGGTCAGAGAGAGAAGCAGACTCCCCGTGGTGCTGGGAGCCCGATGCGGGACTCGATCCCGGGACTCCAGGATCACGACCTGAGCCGAAGGCAGTCGTCCAACCAACTGAGCCACCCAGGCGTCCCATAAGGGAGCTCTTTTAACTTCCAGGAGAGCTTTTAAAGTAGGCAATAGGAAAGGCAAACTCAAGTTCATTATTCATGAGCCTCTCCCTGGCACTGCAGTGTTTGTGGAAGTGTAATCTTCACGTCATCCTATCAGTATGGTAGACGTAAACAAGAGAAGATGCTTATTTAAATGTAGACTTTGGGCTTCGTTCCAGATCTAAAACAATCCTCTGTATTGGAAACTGCAACCGACCCTCAATTTTTTGCACACTGACTTTGAAAAAACATTGCTCTAGGGCAGTGGTTTCCAAACCTGTATAATTTTGCCCCTCCAAGGACATGGGGGCAATATTTAGAGACATCGGGGAGAGGGCATCCAGTGGGTAGAGGTCAAGGATGCTGTTAAATATCCTAGGACTCACAGGATCGCCCCTTTTGCCACAACAAGAATCATCCAGACCCAAATGTCAATAGTACTGAGCTTAAAAACTATGCTTAAGTGGCTTCTACATCTTTGTACAAGGGTGGGAGTGGGGCTCAGACTCAAAAATTCTTTCTGAATCTAAGAATCTAGCTCAAGTTTCTGTTAAGGCCAGTCCTATCTTGGCTAAGTGATGTAATAGTTATTAAAGAGCCAGCAGGGCATCTTGTTAAGAATACTTACAAAAAGCAATGAAAAATGATTACATCTACACCACTAACAAAGGGTAAAACAGTTGTGAAAATAACTAGCAGAGGTAGGAATAGGAGAAGCTTTTAGTCTCTTCATCATGCAGCTAGTACCTGTCAGATACCCAGGTCATAGAAGGGTGAATCACCTTCAGATTTTGCCGCTCTAAGGGAGATTCCCAAACCTCTAAGTCTCATACAAGGGACAACCTTTTCAGAAGAGTAGGAGAAGGCAGAGGGCGGATGGGTCAGGGAAAAAAAAAAAAAAAAAAAAGAAATCTGAAGGGCACTTACTGTATGACCTTGAAAAAGAAAACAGATGTGACTCCCCCCAAGTCTGTTACATTTTCATAAAACCGGAGAAAATAAAAATTTGTAAAAATTAAATGACAAATTTTGCACGATTTTAGAGAATGAAGAACTTAGACTACGCATTTGTAATAAAACGGGAATTGATGCTCGAAGAGGCTACAAAGGCCTACCTTGGACCTGATGCGGAGATGGGGGTAGGCGACGAACTCGGGTCTCTCATGCTCTCCATGATGCGACTTCAGGAAGACATTCAGCATGCTCACACCCACGCCGGGGAGCGCTACGAAGTAGGTGAGAGCCTTCCACAGGCGAGCTGCAAAGGAGGCACGACCGCTCAAGCCTGATGGGGACCCCGCCCGGGTCTCACCCCGCCCTCCCCAAGACCTCACGCCAAGGTCACAGTCCTGCCCCGCCTCGCTCGAGTGGGGCTGAGGCCCTACCCGCGAACCGCAGCTCCAGTACCTGAGCCCTCCTCGCCGTGGGCGCCACTTGACATGGGCCGCCTCAGCTGTGCCCCGGACCGACCTAGCAGCCCAGACAGCCGGAACAGAGAAGCCGCCGCCACCGCCATTTTCAAGCTGGACAGCCTCAGCGCCGGAAGCGGAAGTAGAAATTGGGCTGGGGGCGGAACCACAACGTCAAAAGCAAACTCCTATTGGGCGGATCCTTCCCACTCGCCTTAAGGCAAGGAGCGTGAGTTCTAGTTAAACTCCCCAGAGCCACGAATCTCGAGGGAGCATGCGCTCTCCACCCGCCGTGTGCACGCCCCTTTCCCCACAGTCCCCACCCGGGAGAGGCTAGGCGAGGCTGAGAGTTAAAGAGAGGTTTATTGGGGCGGGGCAAGCTGGCCTTCGGAAGCGCTGTCTTGGTTGGAGTCCGCGGACAGCAACTGGAGGTTCTGAGCTCAGAACACCCCATCTAAAATGCCATTCCTGTTCCTCCCCGTTCTGTGACGCCATTTTTCTTTGCACTTGACATAATAATCGTCGTCATCATTATTATGTCTGCCTCCCCTACTAGAGTATAAACTCTTTGATGCCCGAGTTTTCCACAGCACCATTCCCAGAGCCTGGAATTGTACCTGGCACGGAGCAGGTACTCGGTAAAAATGAATGAGTGAGTGAGCGAATGAATGAATGAATGAAAACTAGGGGAACCAGAGGGA